TCTGTATTTTAAAGACCTAATGTAATATTTCCTTTATGTAAGATATTGTGAATTATATTAAAAAATGACATGTGAAATACATATGTCATTGTACATAACCCATTTCCACTTATTGCTATCCATTGGCATCCACTGTGTCTTGAGGTAAGTGATATTCTGAAATACTGAACAAGGTGTTCTCTTATGCAAATGAGGCTTGGTTCATTCAGAAAAGGTACATGGCAATTGCAATTACAGTGGCTTGCAAAAGTATTCACCCCCCTTGATATTTTTCCTATTTTGTTGACTTACAACCTGGAATTAAAATGGTTTGTATCATTTGATTTACACAACATGCCTACCACTTTGAAGATGCAAAATATATTATTGTGAAACAAACAAGAAATAAGACAAAAAAACAGAACTTGAGCGTGCATAACTATTCACCCCCCCCAAAGTCAATACTTTGTAGAGGCACCTTTTGCAGCAATCACAGCTGCAAGTCTCTTGGGGTATGTCTCTATAAGCTTGGCACATCTAGCCACTGGGATTTTTACCCATTCTTCAAGGCAAAACTGCTCCAGCTCCTTCAAGTTGGATGGGTTCCACTGGTGTACAGCAATCTTTAAGTCATACCACAGATTCTCAATTGGATTGAGGTCTGGGCTTTGACTAGGTCATTCCAAGACATTTAAATGTTTCCCCTTAAACCACTCGAGTGTTGCTTTAGCAGTATGCTTAGGGTCATTGTCCTGCTGGAAGGTGAACCTCTGTCCCAGTCTCAAATCTCTGGAAGACTGAAACAGGTTTCCCTCAAGAATTTCCCTGTATTTAGCGCCATCCATTATTCCTTCAATTCTGACCAGTTTCCCAGCCCCTGCTGATGAAAAACACCCCCACAGCATGATACTGCCACCACCATGCTTCACTGTGGGGATGGTGTTCTCAGGGTAATGAGAGGTGTTGGGTTTGCGCCAGACATAGTGTTTTCCTTGATGGCCAAAAAGCTCAATTTTAGTCTCATCTGACCAGAGTACCTTCTTCCATATGTTTGGGGAGTCTCCCACATGCGTTTGGCGAACACCAAACGTGTTTGCTTATTTTTTTCTTTAAGCAATGGCTTTTTTCTGGCCACTCTTCCGTAAAGCCCAGCTCTGTGGAGTGTACGGCTTAAAGTGTTCCTATGGACAGATACTCCAATCTCCGCGGTGGAGCTTTGCAGCTCCTTCAGGGTTATCTTTGGTCTCTTTGTTGCCTCTCTGATTAATGCCCTCCTTGCCTGATCCGTGATTTTTGGTGGGCAGCCCTCTCTTGGCAGGTTTGTGGTGCCATATTCTTTCTATTTTTTAATAATGGATTTAATGGTGCTCCGTGGGATGTTCAAAGTTTCAGATATTTTTTTATAACCCAACCCTGATCTGTACTTCTCCACAACTTTGTCCCTGACCTGTTTGGAGAGCTCCTTGGTCTTCAAGGTGCTGCTTCCTTGGTGGTGCCCCTTGCCTAGTGGTGTTGCAGACTCTGAGGCCTTTCAGAACAGGTGTATATATACTGAGATCATGTGACAGGTAGATTGCACATAGGTGGACATTATTTAACTAATTATGTGACTTCTGAAGGTAATTGGTTGCACCAGATCTTATTTAGGGGCTTCATACAAAGTGGGTGAATACATATGCACGCACCACTTTTCCGTTATTTACAGTGAGGGAAAAAAGTATTTGATCCCCTGCTGATTTTGTACGTTTGCCCACTGACGAAGAAATTATCAGTCTATCATTTTAATGGTAGGTTTATTTGAACAGTGAGAGACAGAATAACAACAAAAAAATCCAGAAAAACACATGTAAAAAATGTTATAAATTGATTTGCATTTTAATGAGGGAAATAAGTATTTGACCCCCTCTCAATCAGAAAGATTTCTGGCTCCCAGGGGTCTTTTATACAGGTAACGAGCTGAGATTAGGAGCACACTCTTAAAGGGAGTGCTCCTAATCTCAGTTTGTTACCTGTATAAAAGACACCTGTCCACAGAAGCAATCAATCAATCAGATTCCAAACTCTCCACCATGTCCAAGACCAAAGAGCTCTCCAGGGATGTCAGGGACAAGATTGTAGACCTACACAAGGCTGGAATGGGCTACAAGACCATTGCAAAGCAGCTTGGTGAGAAGGTGACAACAGTTGTTGCGATTATTCGCAAATGGAAGAACAACAAAAGAACTGTCAATCTCCCTCGGCCTGGGGCTCCATGCAAGATCTCACCTCATGGAGTTGAAATGATCATGAGAACAGTGAGGAATCAGCCCAGAACTACACAGGAGGATCTTGTCAATGATCTCAAGGCAGCTGGGACCATAGTCACCAAGAAAACAATAGGTAACACACTACGCCGTGAAGGACTGAAATCCTGCAGCGCCCGCAAGGTTCCCCTGCTCAAGAAAGCACATATACAGGGCCGTCTGAAGTTTGCCAATGAACATCTGAATGATTCAGAGGAGAACTGGGTGAAAGTGTTGTGGTCAGATGAGACCAAAATCGAGCTCTTTGGCATCAACTTAACTCGCCATGTTTGGAGGAGGAGGAATGCTGCCTATGACCCCAAGAACACCATCCCCACCGTCAAACATGGAGGTGGAAACATTATGATTTGGGGGTGTTTTTCTGCTAAGGGGACAGGACAACTTCACCGCATCAAAGGGACGATGGACGGGGCCATGTACCGTCAATTCTTGGATGAGAACCTCCTTCCCTCAGCCAGGGCATTGAAAATGGGTCGTGGATGGGTATTCCAGCATGACAATGACCCAAAACACACGGCCAAGGCAACAAAGGAGTGGCTCAAGAAGAAGCACATTAAGGTCCTGGAGTGGCCTAGCCAGTCTCCAGACCTTAATCCCATAGAAAATCTGTGGAGGGAGCTGAAGGTTCGAGTTGCCAAACGTCAGCCTCGAAACCTTAATGACTTGGAGAAGATCTGCAAAGAGGAGTGGAACAAAATCCCTCCTGAGATGTGTGCAAACCTGGTGGCCAACTACAAGAAACGTCTGACCTCTGTGATTGACAACAAGGGATTTGCCACCAAGTACTAAGTCATGTTTTGCAGAGGGGTCAAATACTTATTTCCCTCATTAAAATGCAAATCAATTTATAACATTTTTGACATGCGTTTTTCTGAATTTTTTTGTTTGTTATTCTGTCTCTCACAGTTCAAATAAACCTACCATTAAAATCATAGATTGATCATGTCTTTGTCAGTGGGCAAACGTACAAAATCAGCAGGGGATCAAATACTTTTTTCCCTCACTGTATTTTTTAGAATTTTTTGAAACAAGTAATTTTTTTCATTTCACTTCACCAATTTGGACTATTTTGTGTATGTCCATTACATGAGATCCAAATAAAAATCAATTTAAATTACAGGTTGTAATGCAACAAAATAGGAAAAACACCAAGGGGGATGAATACTTTTGCAAGGCACTGTAGCATGTTGTTTGGACAGAAGTCTCCCTTTTCAGTGAAAAGTGCTTCTTGGACATCAACTAGGACAAAAAATAATAATAATACATAGTAGTATGTAGAAATATTTATTTGTAACATTTTCTAATTCATCAAAAATACACAATATTCCTTTAAATCAGGTGGAATTGTTTGTAAGGAGTCACAAATAAAAAAAAGAACAAAGTGCAACAATACAAAAAATTATATTTACTATAATTCAACTACAGTAAGGTACATATGCAGTAGATGCATGGAGTGGCCCTAACAATGTATCAAAATCTATATTTTAATACAGAAAGCTTTTCCATGAATGAAGTACAGTATTTTCCTCCGTCTCTAGCTGACACTGCCATGTCTGCTTTGAGGAGAATGCCGTTCTAACCTGAATGGGGATAGATCTCAATTGTATTTCCTTGATTCCTCATATCCTTTCTCCTCACCATCTCACATGCAACGAATACAACAGGCATAGACTTTACTGTGAAATGCTTACTTACGAGGGGGTGTGGCAGATATCCAATTTGTAAGTCGCTCTGGATAAGAGCGTCTGCTAAATGATGTAAATGTAAATATCAAAACTCTTCCGAGAACGACTCAGGTAGGATAGACATGACTATCTTCAAGGAAAGGTGGCTATCGATGAGGGGAGGACACTTCCGTTCGCTTACTAACGAATTGACACCCTCCTCGACCACTTATTGGTTTCCGGGTCACGCAGAGGACGGAGGAGTCGAGGAGAGGATGGTCTTTCGCCCAAAAGAGAATCTCACTGTGATTAGTCTTGTCCTCTCCTCCTAGGAAGAACCTAAATTGCCCACTCCTCAAAACCCATTGGATGAGAAAGCCAGAGGTGTCGTCCCTCTGACCTTCTCCAATGGGTTTTGAGAAGGAGGCGAGGAGAAGACAATTGAGCTTCTCCCCTAGTCTCCTTGCATCCCTCTGATGTTTTGTTTATTGGTTGTTTGAACATTTTGAGATATCAACCCTGAACAGAACAATCAGAGACCAAACTAGCTAAACGCAAATTACTGTCATATCAGGTGGCTTATGGCAGACAAATGGCACAAAATCATTATTTATTTGCTCATGAACCAAAAACAAAAACGTTTTAAACATGGTAGTTAACGCGTTCTCTTTTCTTCTGGGTGGAGGTTTACACCCAGTCAGCACCCCCTTAAATGAAATTAACAACAATAATTCATACAGCAGTACAACATTTATGAACAGCAAAAAACACTGAAACATAATAACAGGCATATTACAGTATGATGTTGGACATTAAAGTGAACATTTCCAAACGCCAGTAATCAAAATGGAACAACCCCTCCCCTTCAAACTGTGCCTCTATATCAAAGGCTTTCCAACCCCACTGACAAGACTGTCATTCATCACATGCACTTCTCCACACGCGCAAGTCTAACCTCCTAATTCTGCCATTCAGCAGGTCAAAACTCCACTGTCCCAGTTATGGAGAGGTCAGGTGCCAGCCTAGGGTAGAGCCCCAGTCCAACACCCTCCATCTCCACCACCACCCCCCTCAGCTCTACTTGTCGCCCCCAGCCTCCTGCTCTTTGGTCAGGCCGCGGATAGACAGGTCGTAGACCACCTCCTCTATCTTCTTCACGTCGTACTTGAGACCATCGTAGCGCTTCCTCAGGGGGTCGTTCTTGAGGTTGAGCAGGCGGAAGCCAGAGTCCAGCTCGTTGATGAAGTTGGAGATGCGGAGGGGACGGCCATAGTCCCCTGCTGTGACGCTGTTCACCGCCAGGCGAGACTAGAGAGGACAGACACAGATGATTTTATACATGTAAATAATCCATCCAAAAAGTAATCATATATTAGCGAAAAAAAACATGTACATTTTGCATAAACCAATGTATTGATATATTAAAATGGTATTGTCTGATGTAATATAATTTAAGAAGCCACAATTCATTCTCACCAGTTCACTGGCCATGATCAGCACACCTGCCAGGTAATCCTCAACATCCAGGTGGAATCCCTTCTCTCTCACCACCTCGACTGCAAGAAATAGGGAAAATGTATGACCACCACAGCACACTACCTGACGGCTGATTGACTGTCTGAGAGGACAGTCTGCGAATGCACCCATTGCCTTGAAAAAAGTTAAACTCAAGGCAATAGGTGCATTCGTATTAGCTTGCCTAGTGCACATGGTGGGCAGAGATTTACCAATGGAATGGTCTAAAATATTCAAACTCCATCCACCGGGGCACCAGGAAAGCTAAAAAAAGGCACCGAAATGAACTGATACCTACTTCCTAGTATTTGTGCCACTTCATCACGTGTCACCAGAGACTCACTCTCCAGGTAGACCACGAACGCTGCCAGGAAGGCCAGGCGCTGCAGAACAAACCTCCAGTGCTCATGGAACCTAGAAGCAGAGTGGAGGATGGAAAATGACGTGTTAGTTTGTCCTTTCAATAACAAGGAGAGAAGACACAGACAATATCACTCCATAACTTCACGTGGTAATACAGATACTTGAAATGTCCCTTGAATTTCATTCTGTTGACCGGAAACTGTGAATAAGTAGTTGCGAATAAGTAGCCAACTTCAGATTCACCCATGTGTAGCGCCTACCTGTAGTACTGCTCCACTGGGAACTTGGTTTTGAGTTCTCCAAGGTGCGTCCTGACTGTACAAAACAGTTCCTTGGCCTTTGCGCACTTACTGGGAACTTGTGTGACAGACAGGGGGACAAGAAAGATATGTTTATGTAGCTACCTGTAGTACTGTTCCAGGGGGAATTTGGTTTTGAGCTCTACAAAGTACATCTGGACTGTGCTTAACAGTTCAAGAGCAATTACACACTTACTGGGAACTAGTGTGACAGGACAAAACATAAACAGTTATGTCAAGGTGATGGAGACCTGCAAAGCAATGAGTCAGTCAGGAAGGTAAGCAATCATTTGTGATAGTCCAGCCTCGTATTCACTGCTTTAAACAGAAGAAAACAGTGAGGACTACCTTAACTGGTTACAAAACGTTTAGCTACGGTGCACTAATTAATAACTAACTTACACCCCATGTGATTGGGCACTCACTCTCTTTGAAGCCAGATGGTTGATGGACACTTTGGAGCAGGGTCAGGATCTCCCTCGCCGTCTGTTCCAGAACCTGTACCACTTTTTTTATGTCCTGCAAGAGAACATCCGCCGTTAGCTAGCAAGACATCTGTATTAGTTATGATTTTGAAAAAACGAAATGCATGCATGTGTGTCCTATCAGCGGCCCTGACGTTAGTTAGCTAGCTAACTTATATATCAAATGTCTGCAAAACATACATCGTGCACAGTGTTTTCCATACAGTGCATTTCTAAATGGATATTTTGTTAAATTCCTCACGTTCAATGCAAACCTTACTGACTGTATAACTGACTGCGAGTCAATTGCTAGCTTTGCAGTTAGCTAGTTGCGGTTCGGTGCTAGCTCGATTTACAAAAACATTAGCAGCCTGTTGATTGATTAACATTACCTCTCTTATTTCTTGATCCGCACTCAGAAAAGCCTGAATGTAGCTGAACATTTCCGTGACAGACATATTACACAAATTATTGTATTTTGCAAAACGATATGCTAGTTTGCTTCTTTCTGCACAATGAATCAAAATAGTTGGTAGTTAAATCCCAGAGGCGCAACATCGCGAGACTTCTGGGAACGCTTGCGAAACAGACCAAGCAGACCAGGTCCGGATTTGGGGTTTGAGCAGTCAATGAGAGAAGTGAAAAAGTATTCCTTAGTTGTTAATTTCTCGAAATCTAAAGGTACGATCTAGATTCGAGCCAATGTCTTAAGTAGTTTAGCATGTTATTACCCCAGCCTCGTGAAAGTGACACGTTTTAATTTGTCAAAAACATATTTAGTGCCTGACTTGACGGCCTGCACATGCGCAGTTTGGCGCGAGACGACTGTTACCAAAGATAATGGACATACTCCGCGTTAACAATTTTTTTATTTAACCTTTATTTAACCAGGTAAGCCAGTTGAGAACAAGTTCTCATTTACAACTGCGACCTGGCCAAGATAAACCAAAGCAGTGCGATAAAAACAACAACACATAGTTACATATGAGGTAAAACATAAAGTCAAAAATACAACAGAAAATATATAAACAGTGTGTGCAAATGTAGCAAGATTTGGAGGTAAGGCAATAAATAGGCTATAGTGCAAAATAATTACAATTAGTATTAACACTGGAATGATAGATGTGCAAGAGATGATGTGCAAATAGAGATACTGGGGTGCAAAATAAATAACAATATGGGGATGAGGTAGTTGGGTGGGCTAATTTCAGAAGGGCTGTGTACAGGTGCAGTGATCGGTAAGGTGCTCTGACAACTGATGCTTAAAGTTAGTGAGGGAGATAAGAGTCTCCAGCTTCAGAGATTTTTGCAAATCGTTCCAGTCATTGGCAGCAGAGAACTGGAAGGAATAGCGGCCAAAGGAGGTGTTGGCTTTGGGGATGACCAGTGAGATATACCTGCTGGAGCGCATACTACGGGTGGGTGTTGCTATGGTGACCAATGAGCTAAGATAAGGCGGGGATTTGCCTAGCAGTGATTTATAGATGGCCTGGAGCCAGTGGGTTTGGCGACGAATATGTAGTGAGGACCAGCCAACAAGAGCGTACAGGTCACAGTGGTGGGTAGTATATGGGGCTTTGGTGACAAAACGGATGGCACTGTGATAGACTACATCCAATTTGTAGTCTATTTGTAGAGTGTTGGAGGCTATTTTGTAAATGACATCGCCGAAGTCAAGGATCGGTATGATAGTCAGTTTTACGAGGGCATGTTTGGCAGCATGAGTGAAGGAGGCTTTGTTGCGAAATAGGAAGCAGATTCTAGATTTAGTTTTGGATTGGAGATTCTTAATGTGAGTCTGGAAGGAGAGTTTACGGTCTAACCAGACACCTAGGTATTTGTAGTTGTCCACATACTCTAGGTCAGACCCGTCCAGAGTAGTGATTCTAGTCGGGTGGGCGGGTGCCAGCAGCGTTTGATTGAAGAGCATGCATTTAGTTTTACTAGTGTTTAAGAGCAGTTGGAGGCTACTGAAGGAGTGTTGTATGGCATTGAAGCTTGTTTGGAGGTTTGTTAACACAGTGTCCAATGAAGTTCCAGATGTATATAAAATGGTGTCGTCTGCGTAGAGGTGGATCTGAGAGTCACCAGCAGCAAGAGCGACATCATTGATATACACAAAAAAAAGAGTCGGCCCAAGAATTGAACCATGTGGCACCCCCATAGAGACTGCCATAGGTCCAGACAACAGGCCCTCCGATTTGACACATTGAACTCTATCTGAGAAGTAGATGGTGAACCAGGCGAGGCAGTCATTTGAGAAACCAAGGCTATTTAGTCTGCCAATAAGAATGCGGTGGTTGACAGAGTCGAAAGCCTTGGCCAGGTCGATGAAGACGGCTGCACAGTACTGTCTATTATCGATCGCGGTTATAATATCGTTGGGAATCGTTTTCCACAAAGCGAGAATGCGGGCTGCCTATCCTTTCTTGGGATTGGTGGATACATCTCATTATTGTAATCCTGGTTTGAATATTCGATGAGGGTTGTTAACCGCCTGTATTCAATGGAGAGAGACGCTATGATACTAGCCTCATGTCATGAATATGCATAGCCATCTCGAGACAACTCCGATATAAAGTGTTTTTTCTCAAAATTGCCAAAATGTCTACTTATATCAGTACACTCGTAACAATTTAAGCATTACGAAACTTATATTAGATCAAATAAACATCACATAGCAAATAAGCCATTCATTTTTGTGTTGAACAAATTCGACACTCATTGACCTCCATACAAAAACTCCTTGCTTGGTGGGCGAAAAAACGCCACCTGATCTCTGCCATTACCCAATGCGTGCGCATGGGTCCTTCGTAAATGTGTCGCATTGAGATGTCAAAATTTTTCTACATCATCGATTGTTCACCCGTTCTTATTATTGCCGCATTCACGTTCTAGTCGGAACTAGGAAAGTCATACATTCCGAGTTTCCTAGTTCCGACTAGCACATGAACGTGGCATATAGCACAATGTTTTTTTTACTGCAGTTCCAAATGTCGTCACTAGTTACCACAGCCACAAAGTCATAAACCTCGCCTATTTCTACAATTTATCTTCTTAAATTTTTATTTTAAACCTAAACCTAACCCTAACCTCAACCACACTGCTAACCTTATGCCTAACCTTAAATTAAGACAAACATATTTTGGGGGGGGTTTCATGAATTTGTAGCCAATTTTGACGTTCAAATCAAATCAAATCAAATTATATTTGCCACATGCGCCGAATACAACAGGTGTAGACATTACCATGAAATGCTTACTTACAGCCCTTAAACCAACAATGCATTTATTTCTTAATTAAAAAAGTAAAATAAAACAACAACAACAAAAAAGTGTTGAGAAAAAAAGAGCAGAAGTAAAATAAAATAACAGTAGGGAGGCTATATACAGGGGGGTACCGGTGCAGAGTCAATGTGCGGGGGCACCGGCTAGTTGAGGTAGTTGAGGTAATATGTACATGTGGGTAGAGTTAAAGTGACTATGCATAAATAATTAACAGAGTAGCAGCAGCGTAAAAAGATGGGGTGGGGGTGCAATAGTCCGGGTAGCCATGATTAGCTGTTCAGGAGTCTTATGGCTTGGGGGTAGAAGCTGTTGAGAAGCCTTTTGGACCTAGACTTGGCACTCCGGTACCGCTTGCCGTGCGGTAGCAGAGAGAACAGTCTATGACTAGGGTGGCTGTAGTCTTTGACAATTTTGAGGGCCTTCCTCTGACACCGCCTGGTATAGAGGTCCTGGATGGCAGGAAGGTTGGCCCTAGTGATGTACTGGGCCGTACGCACTACCCCTCTGTAGTGCCTTGCGGTCGGAGGCCGAGCAGTTGCCATACCAGTCGGTGATGCAACCAGTCAGGATGCTCTCGATGGTGCAGCTGTAGAACTTTTTGAGGATCTGAGGACCCATGCCAAATCTTTTCAGTCTCCTGAGGGGGAATAGGCTTTGTCGTGCCCTCTTCACGACAGTCTTGGTGTGTTTGGACCATGTTAGTTCGTTGGTGATGTGGACACCAAGGAACTTGAAGCTCTCAACCTGTTCCACTACAGCCCCGTCGATGAGAATGGGGGCGTGCTCAGTCCTCTTTTTTTTCCTGTAGTCCACAATCATCTCCTTTGTCTTGGTCACGTTGAGGGAGAGGTTGTTATCCTGGCACCACACGGCCAGGTCTCTGACCTCCTCCCTATAGGCTGTCTCATCGTTGTCAGTGATCAGGCCTACCACTGTTGTGGATCCAGTTGCAGAGGGAGGCGTTTAGTCCCAGGATCCTTAGCTTAGTGATGAGCTTTGAGGGCACTATGGTGTTGAACGCTGAGCTGTAGTCAATGAATAGCATTCTCACGTAGGTGTTCCTCTTGTCCAGGTGGGAAAGGGCAGTGTGGAGTGCAATAGAGATTGCATCATCTGTGGATCTGTTGGGGCGGTGTGCAAATTGGAATGGGTCTAGGGTTTCTGGGATAATGGTGTTGATGTGAGCCATGACCAGCCTTTCAAAGCAAGTCATGGCTACAGACGTCAGTGCTACGTGTCGGTAGTCATTTAGGCAGGTTATCTTAGTGTCCTTGGGCACGGGGACTATGGTGGTCTGCTTGAAACATGTTGGTATTACAGACTCAGTCAGGGACATGTTGAAAATGTCAGTGAAGACACTTGCCAGTTGGTCAGTACATGCTCGGAGTACACGTCCTGGTAATCCGTCAGGCCCTGCGGCCTTGTGAATGTTGACCTGCTTAAAAGTCTTACTCACATCGGCTACGGAGAGCGTGATCACATAGTCATCCGGAACAACTGGTACTCTCATGCATGCTTCAGTGTTGCTTGCCTCGAAGCGAGCATAGAAGTGGTTTAGCTCGTCTGGTAGGCTTGTGTCACTGGGCAGCTCGCGGTTGTGATTCCCTTTGTAGTCTGTAATAGTTTTCAAGCCCTGCCACATCCGACGAGCGTCAGAGCCGGTGTAGTACGATTCAATCTTAGTCCTGTATTGACTCTTTGCCCGTTTGATGGTTCGTTGGAGGGCATAGCGGGATTTCTTATAAGCGTCCAGGTTAGAGTCCCGCTCCTTGAAAGTGACAGCTCTACCCTTTAACTCAGTGCGGATGTTGCCTGTAATCCATGGCTTCTGGTTGGGGTATGTACGTACGGTCACTGTGGGGACGACGTCATCAATGCACTTATTGATGAAGCCAGTGACTGATGTGGTGTACTATTTGTGGCTGTGTGCTATTTAGTGGAAACCAGTTTCCAAATTATCAAGATAATTAAAATGTATACATTGTACAATGTACATAAATTGCGGAATAATATGAAATATGAATATAACGAGAGGAAATATTTGTTGTGTTCATTTATTTGTCTCGAAGTAGAACACCTAAAAATCTAAAAGTACAATAGAAGCAAAAACACATTTCATATAATATCTCTGTTATTTCTGACCTTTTTATACATTATCAATATGAAAAACATCCATATCCACTAGATGGCAACCATAGTCCAGATTTTCAGTGAAGACAAATCCACTCAGCTTTATCCCCATTTTTCAGTTAGACAATAGCACCTCTGGTCTTTCGTTTAAGCATACCACTAATAAAAAAACATAACTGAACACTGATTCTTCGTATGTCTTGAATGTGATATTGTGTATTTAACCATTATTCATATACAAATATTTTTGAAAAACGGAATACATGCAGTGAAAAACATTTATGTAGCAAAACACAGCAGACAACTCTTGTAATACGACATAGTGAATACCTTGTTTCTACAAAGACCAAAGGAACCATATAAGTGCTTCAATTCACACAACACAAAGCCCTATTTGTGACACAGTCAGTAATGTTACAGCAATGTCTTTTCCATTGTTTGGTTGGTTACTCCTGGTTATTCTGTAGACTAGCCTATTAGCAGGCCATCACAGTGTGGCTGGATTCAAGGCATTCCCAGCCTCTGACAGACTATCTGCTGTTTTTTGAGGGTTCTGTGAGTTCTGAGGTGTAGTATCCTTGTTCTTGGCTGCGGCTGCCTTGTCGCTCTGTGCTCGGATCAGTTTCTCTCTCTCTAAGGCTTTCTCCATCTCTGTGTAGTAGTCCAGGGCCTTACGCACCGGGTCTATGATGTGCTGCTGCAGGGGCACAGAGAGATAAGGGTTCTGGATATGTTTACACAAATATGGCAGCTAGGCAGTGCTTGAGTTGTGCAAGTGCCAACCAGTACAGAATACCGGCACGGCTGCACCTTGCATTTTCTACTGCTTGAGTAACGGCACCCTTTTTCACTCTAAAATATTCACTCTCAAATATGAATGAGTACCAGTACCTTTTGATTCCACTTCATGCACAGCAGCTAGGGGATGAAGTTGCATTACAGTGAAGCTACATTAGTGTAGTGGTTGTAGACCGGGAGCTCTTACCTCCAGGCAGGGGAAAAGGTTAGCCAGCTCAATGAAGAGGGGTAAGAGGACAAAGCCGATGAAGCCTGTCTGAGAGGACGGCTTGGTCACCTTGTCCCTGTCCATGAACGGGGTGACAGGAAGACCCTCCAGCTTCTCCATGTCACTCTGAGGGAGGACAGTTGAGAGCAGGACTTAATTAGTATTACATTGTAGTAGGCTATTTCTATGATACACTGTAGCATACCATTTAGAATGAAGCAGTGTTTTAGCCACGCATTCTATGTTGTATGCTAGTAGTTATATTGGAACATAACCAATATCTGTGTTGTGGTGCTTAGTTACCTGGTTGTAGAACTCCTGCAGGAGGCAGTCCAACCAGGGCTCAGCCACGTCCATAGGACGTGCTTCGTTGGAGATGTCACTCACTTTGATCATGATCATCATCAGCTGGAGGGAGACAGGGGGATATACATTTCACTTTAATCCAGTCGGGAAGAGCCCCAGGCTGGTTCCCTATCAGCACTAGTAGATACCAAGATTCTCTCATCTGATGTTGCTAGGCAACATGGCTGTAGACTCCTATGGTACCATGGCAACATCTGACTAAAAAGGGACAGGGAGTACCAGGATGACATTTACGTGACACCTCATAAACACTGGGCTAAACATAGGACTATTTCATAAACATACTGTTTATTCATACTCTTTCTTACCACGTCTCTGTGGTCCTTGTTGCTGAAGTCGAAGACAGGCAGGATGGACTTGAACTTGTTCAGGATCTCGTTATGTCTCGTCATGTCAGTGGCCAGGATGCATCTAAGAATAAATGAAATGCCTTGAGTTGATGCACTCTCCACACATTACGGTTAGATCAAAGTAAACATATATTTGTGGTGGTGAAGAGAATGCGAATAAATACATTCTTACTTGATTATGCCCTCTCTTATCCGTTTATACTGTTCAGTTGTCAGATTTCTGAAAATGTTGTTTTCATTCTGTAAAAAGATAAACACTTTACTGTCATCTAAAAAGTTGACCCACACACACCATAGCCCAACTCCAGTTACCCATGCCAATACCACCCATACCTTCTCCAGGATCTCAAAAGCCACAGCACAGTGGTGGTTCTCAAGGGGGGAGATGTCATTGTAGCGCAGGGCCAGTTCAGTACGAGCATTTATCTGAAAGATAGAGCTGATAGTGAGCTATCAATTCACGAATGCAGGCACACACACACACACACACACACACACACACAACTGTATCTGTGGTGGTCAGATAGATAGGTCACCTGGTAAGCGTTGTTGTATCCCGTGTGGTCAAGGTCGTGACAGACTGCAGAGGTCAGCATGGTGAGCAGGTCAATGCTGTCAATCTTACTTTTCAGGTCCGTCAGCCAGATCAGCCCGTACATCTATCAGAGAATAAAGAATCGCAAGAGGAGCAGTCCAGAGAGAACACAGCTCAATGATGGATAATTGCTATAACATGAATCCACAGAAATTATATTAATACAAAACATTGACATTTGTTTTTGTTTAATGCAATGTCTTAACCGGCAAACCTCTGAATGATTATATTGAGTCTATTTCTTAAATCGGTTGAGGGGCCTGGATGTCCTAACCAATCAGGGTTTAGGGTGATTGGATAATTTGATGATTGCACAAAGGAATGGGACTCTACATGATTGCCCCTGACGACCCTCTTTTTCTCTCTCTTTCACACACACACACACACACACACACACACACACACACACACACACACACACCCACCATCTGGGTGACACAGAAGCAGTGTTTGAAGTTGTGGAAGGGGATGTTGTTGTAGCGTTTGTACACCTCATACAGGAACTGGTGCAGCACCTCAGGCTCAATGTTAAAGGTGGCGATGAAGTCCAGGTCTGTGTACATGACCTGCAGTAGAACCATGATCTCTGCATCCTCCCACTGCCTGCACACACATAGCAGGACAAGTCAAGGGTCAAGGGTCAAATCATTAATTTTTAGGAGGTCATAGCGGTACTAAGTGTAACCTACTGTATGTTTCATATGTAGCAATAACCACTTTCATGTGCCCTTTAGTGCCCTGGCCAAGGGTTGATAAATATGCTAAAGTGATGGATTAATAGATTTCTGGACGCAGTAGCTGCAGATAAACTGCCATTTTGACTAATCTCTGTACTGGTCTAACAAACAGTTACCTGGAATAATTAATCATGTTCGCTCAAAGAACAGTTTTGAAAGTGGTCCTAGTGTAAATGTCACAAAAATATGGGTTCTTGTATGGTAGCTTTAGTTTTTTCCCCAAGTGGCCAATATATATTCCCTTTTTTGAAGTGAGGCCTCCATCTTGTTATGTTAGTTCTAAAAGGCCCTGAAGTAATACTTAACCAAACTGGACTGAAAGCTGTGACGTGCATGTCGTCCACATAATGCATCCTTCAAAAGCGCCTGTGTTAATGAAGCTTGTTATGAAGACCTCCTTTTGATTGGCAAACCCATAGCAGACAGCCATTCATATTGATATGAGCCTGTAGGACAGATGAAAGGGGTGAATAACCCCATCCTCTTCAGAGGTGCTGGCCGCCCGGCTCCCTGTCTCTCCCTGTCTCTCTTTTGAAGCAGCAGGTGCAGATGCTGTTTGTTTATCACACCACAGAGACATTGCTCAACCCTCTCACCTCCCACGCACAACCAGCACTCACAGGACCCTGTCTGTAGTCTCTCTGTAACTCCTACTGTGTAAGAAAGTCCATTAGTACATTTTCTAAGGAAAGTGGAAAAAAGGCAAATAGATGGGGAACTCACCAGTTGTCAAAAGTTGGGGTCTTGAGGTACTGTCTGACTTCCTCTGATACCTCCAGGGAACTATGGAGAATAGAAAATTACTATTCTGTTATTTTCATCTCAAATTTTTAGAACATGATATCCAAATTGTGATCTCAATTGCAACACCACTTTCACGACTTCCGCCGAGGCTGCCTCCCCTCCTTGTTCGGGCAGGCTTCGGCGTTCGTCGTCACCGGCTTACTAGCCACTGCCACTCCATATATCATCATTCCATTTGTCTTGTCTTGTTAATTACACACACCTGGTTCTTATCCCCTCATTAGTCCATGTATAAGTGTTCCCTCTGCCCCCCTTGTCCTTGTGGGTGATTTGTTATTTGTGAGAGTAGTGTAGCTCGGTAGAGCTCCTCACACTTTGCATTGCCGGGGTAGATATGTCCCCTGTGCCTGTATATTATTGGAGTATCCCTTTCCGTGTTTTGCCAGGGTAGATAGTTTCCCCTGTGCCTGTTTTCGTGTGTCGCTATCCAGCGCTATTTGTGTACGATGGAATAAACTCTGATTTCAGTGATTACCCTCCTGCGCCTGACTCCTTCTATAATATGCCATTTAGCAGACGCTTTTATCCAAAGCGACTTACAGTCATGTGTGCATACACAGGTATGGGTGGTCCCGGGGATCGAACCCACTACCCTGGCGTTACAAGCACCATGCTCTACCACCCGCTATGGAGTCAGCGGGAGAAGAGTGCATGCCTGGAGTCGTGGCACGGGTCCAGGAGCATTCCACGATGCTGGCCAGCTTCGAGACCAGCTGGCCAACCGGATCCAGTCACCTACACCCCAGCACCCGGAGAGATCCAGATATCCCAACCATGGGCGTTCGACGGGACGGCGGTGCTCTGCCAAGGATTCCTCCTCCAACTGGAGCTTTACTTCTCCAGCATCAGGCCGGCGCCATCGGAGCGGGAGAAGGTGTCCGTCCTCATTTCCTGCCTCTCTGGGAAAGCCCTGGAGTGGGCCAACGCGGTTTGGAACGAAGGAGGAGCCACGTTGGAGGACAACGGGGAATTCGCTCGCCTCTTTCGGGCAGTCTTCGATCACTGCCCGAGGGTCAAGAGGCGGTCGAGCGGCTGATCCACCTGAGGCAGGGGATGAGGACCGCACAGGACTTCGCGTTGGAGTTTCGGACTCTGGCAGCGGGATCCGGGTGGAACGAGCGGGCCCTAATCAACCATTTCCGGTGCCATCTGCGGGAGGACGTCCGACGGGAGCTAGCCTGCCGGGACACCATGTTGTCTTTCACAAAACTGGTGGACATGGCCATCCGTTTGGACAACCTGCTGGCAGCCAGAGGACGTCCTGGTAGGGGTCTGCCCCGGATGACTCGGATCCTGAGCTGATGGAGCTGGGTGGAGCCGCCGTCCGAGAGAGTGGAGGACGACAGCGACAGTGCCACTCTGGTGGCACGAAGGGACAGTACACCACACGTCGTAGTCAACGCTCTTTTGGGCCTGGAGGCGGCAGGCAGGGCACTCTCGCATCACCCCAGGTATCGAACACCCACACTCGTTCAGAGACCTCTGCTGCACACTGTACCCTACCTATCCATTTTCCCGATCACATGGTAGTTCCCCAGTGTAAGGCGCTAGTCGATTCAGGCGCAGCTGGGAACTTTATGGACAGGGCATTCTCACGCCGTCAAGGCATTTAATTGGTTCCCCTATCCATTCCACTCCCCATCAGAGCACTTGATAGTCGACTATTAGGGTCCGGGTTTGTAAAGGAAGTCACTGTACCAGTCACCATGATCACCCAGGAGACTCATTGTGAGCAGGTAACTTTTTTGATTATTGAGTCTCCTGCTTTCCCTGTGGTATTAGGTATCCCTTGGCTAGCACTCCACAACCCCACCTTCTCATGGCCGCAGAGGGTTCTCACGGGGTGGTCGCGAGAGTGTCAGGGTAGGTGTCTAGGTGTTTCTGTTGGTGCAACCACTGTGGAAAGTCCAGACGGTACCTCCACCGTGCACATTCCCCCCAAATACCATGATCTGGCGCACACGTTTTCTAAGACACAGGCAACAAAATTACCACCTCATCGGGCGGGGGATTGCGCGATAAACCTTCGGGTAGACGCTGTACCTCCCAGGAGTCATGTGTACCCCCTGTCGCAGGCTGAAACGGAGGCTATGGAAACATACGTCACTGAGTCCCTGGGCCAGGGCTATATACGTCCCTCCACTTCACCCGCCTCCTCGAGTTTCTTCTTTGTGAAGAAGAAAGACGGCGGTCTGCGACCGTGTATTGATTATCAATCACTGAACAAGGAGACTATAAGATTTAGTTATCCTCTCCCCCTCATTCCTTCATTGATTGAGTCAATGTATGGGGCACGCTTCTTCACCAAATTAGATCTCAGGAGTGCATATAACCTGGGGCGTGGGGGATGAGTGGAAGACAGCATTCAGCACAACCACGGGGCATTATGAATACCTGGTGATGCCCTACGGTTTGATGAATGCTCCATCCGTCTTCCAGTCCTTTGTGAACGAGGTGTTTCGGGACATGCTTGGTCGCGGTGTGGTGGTCTACATCGATGACATCCTGGTGTATTCCGCTACGCGCGCCGAGCATGTGTCCCTGGTTTGCAAAGTGCTGGCCCGACTGTTGGAAAATGACCTTTATGCCAAGGCAGAGAAGTGTATGTTTTTCCAGCAGTCCGTCTCCTTCCTCGGATACCGCATTACCACCTCAGGTGTGGAGATGGAGAGAGAACGCATTTCAGCCGTGCGTAATTGGCCGACTCCAACCACGGTTAAGGAAGTGCAGCGCTTCCTTTGCTTTGCCAACTACTATCGGAGGTTTATCCAGGGCTTTGGCAAGGTCACAGCTCCCATTACCTCCCTATTGAATGGTGGGCCGTCCCGGCTCTGCTGGTCTGCTGAGGCTGACCTGGCCTTCAGGAGACTGCGGGGTCTGTTCACCTCAGCCCCGGTACTGGCCCACCCCGATCCATCACTACCGTTCGTAGTGAAGGTGGATGCGTCCGAGGTAGGGATAGGCACTGTCCTATCCCAATGCTCGGGCACGCCACCCAAGCTCCGCCCCTGTGCCTTCTTCTCTAAGAAGCTCAGCCCGGCGGAGCAGAAATACGACGTTGGTGATCGGGAGCTGTTGGCTGTTGTCCGAGCTGTTGGCTGTTGTCCACCCTTTCCTCATCTGGACGGACCACCGTAACCTGGAGTACATTCGGGCAGTGAGGAGGCTGAATCCTCGCCAGGCCAGGTGGGCCCTATTCTTCACCCGGTTTGATTTTACACTGTCATACATTCCGGATACGAAGAACGTGAAGGCAGATGCACTGTCCCGGCTGTATGACACAGAGGAGAGGCCCAGAGACAACACCCCCATACTCCCGGCCTCCTGCATTGTGGTGCCGGTAGTATGGGCAATGGACGCGGATATAGAGCAGGCATTACGCACAGATCCATCTCCACCTCAGTGTCCAGCTGGGCTGCGGTACGTGCCTGCTCTTATCTGTGATCGTCTGATCTTCTGGGCACACATGTCACCCTCCTCTGGTCACCCAGGTATGGGTCATAGTGTGCTGCCTGATCGGAAAGTACTGGTGGCCTACCTTGGCTAAGGACGTGAGGGTGTACGTCTCCTCCTGCTCGGTGTGCGCCTCAGAGTAAGGCACCTAGGCACCTCCCAGCAGGTAAGTTACAACTTTTACCAATTCCACAACGACCATGGTCTCACCTGAGTGTTGATTTCTTGACTGATCTTCCCCTCTCCCAACGTAACACCACCATCCTGGTCGTTGTGGACTGCTTTTCCAAGTCCTGCCGCCTCCTTCCTCTGCCCGGTCTCCCCACGGCCCTGCAGACTGCGGAGGCCCTGTTTACTCACGTCTTCCGGCACTACGGGGTGCCAAAGGATATAGTGTCCGACCGAGGTCCCCAGTTCACGTCCAAGGTTTGGAAGGCATTCATGGAACGTCTGGGGGTCTCAGTCAGCCTGGCCTCTGGGTTCCACCCCGAGTCAAATGGGCAGGTGGAACGGGTAAATCAGGATGTGGGTAGGTTCCTGCGGTCCTACTGCCAGGACCGGCCAGGGGAGTGGTCGGTGTTGTTGCCATGGGCAGAATATGCCCAGAACTTTCTCCGCCACTCCTCTACTAACCTAACGCCATTTCAATGTGTTTTAGGTTACCAACCGGTTCTGGCACCGTGGCACCAGAGCCAGACCGAGGCTCCTGCGGTGGATGACTGGTTTTGGCGCGCGGAGGAGACGTGGGACGCTGCCCACGTTCACCTCCAGCGCGCTGTGCGTTGTCAGAAGGCCAACGCTGACCCCCACCGCAGTGAGGCCCCAGTCTTCGTACCGGGGGATCGGGTCTGGCTCTCGACCCGGAATCTGCGCCTCCGCCTGCCCTGCCGGAAGCGGTTTGTGGGGCCGTTCAAAGTCCTGAGGAGACTCAACGAGGTCACTTATAGGTTATTACTTCCACCTGATTACCGTATTAACCCCTCGTTTCATGTGTCTCTCCTCAGGCCGGTGGTGGTTGGTCCGCTCCAGGAGTCTGAGGTGCGGGAGGTCCCTCCTCCTCCTCTGGACATCGAGGGGGCCCCGGCGTACTCTGTCGGGTGGTGGCCTTCAGTACCTCGTGGAGTGGGAGGGGTACGGTCAGGAGGAACGGTGCTGGGTCCCGGTGAAGGATATCCTCAATCCCTCCCTGTTGCGGGATTTCCACCGTCGCCATCCGGCTCGCCCTGCTCCGCGTCCTCCTGGCTGTCCCCGAGGCCGGGGTCGGCGCGCTGCTGGAGCTGCGCGTCAAGGGGGGGATATTGTCACGACTTCCGCCGAGGCTGCCTCCCCTCCTTGTTCGGGCAGGCTTCGGCGTTCGTTGTCACCGGCTTACTAGCCACTGCCGCTCCATATATCATCATTCCATTTGTCTTGTCTTGTTAATTACACACACCTGGTTCTTATCCCCTCATTAGTCTGTGTATAAGTGTTCCCTCTGCCCCCCTTGTCCTTGTGGGTGATTTGTTATTTGTGAGAGTAGTGTAGCTCGGTGGAGCTACTCGCACTTTGGATTTATTTTTCTCATTTTGTCTGTCATAGTTGACGTGTACCTATAATGAAAATTACAGGCCTCTCTCATCTTTTTAAGTGGGAGAACTTGCACAATTGGTGGCTGACTAAATACTTTTTTTCCCCACTGTATGTCCTCTGTGCCTGTATATTATTGGAGTATCCCGTACCGTGTTTTGCCAGGGTAGATAGTTTCCCCTGTGCCTGTTTTCGTGTGTCGCTATCCAGCGTTATTTGTGTACGATGGAATAAACTCTGATTTCAGTGAATACCCTCCTGCGCCTGACTCCTTCTATCACACTCATCACAACCACTATTCAAGCAATGGAGTCTGGATAAGAGTGGCACAGCCTATTCATCTGATGTCACATGGTCTCTATCAACAGTGAGTGTAAGTAAACCTGCCTCATCTGCAGGAACTTTTCCCGTACATGTTCACATTCCTCTCTGGTCTTGCGCAGCGATCTCTTGTGGTAGAAAGGAGAGGGCTTCTGTGTTCCCTCAGATAGCTCTTTGAATAGGCCCAGCCAGCTGAGATGTTCAACACTCTGTGGAGACACAGATACACTAGGCTAGGCAGACACAGTGAACTTACATGATACTGGTATATGAATGAGCCTTTACACATAATTTATCAAATGATATCTGTACAGCATCAATAACACAACCTACCTCAAGTTTCTCCCGGAATGACTCCACCTGTCTCTTCATCTCATACACGACTGCAGGAGTCTCACCAGCCTCAATCAGGATCTTCTTCTCCAAGCCCTGCAGTCTGGGGTACAGGACATATGGCCTTCCTGACTCACACAGCCCTGCAGTCTGGGGTACAGAACATATGGCCCTCCTGACTCACACAGTCCTGCAGTCTGGGGCAATGTTCCCTCTAAGCTGCGGGTGTGCACGGGCACACAGCTCCCGGGACTGCCGCAGAAGAAATATCAGCCCGCGCAGAGAAGCACAAGATTGAACTTCACTCAACTTTCTAGAGTTTTCACCGTTACTCTGGGAATTGTGATTTAATCAATGCAATATTAGCCACTTTCAAGGCAATATACCGAAACAAAACTAACTATGCAAGACTTAGTATGCAAAACGAACTATTATTATCAGGATGTGGGTAGGTTCCTGCGGTCCTACTGCCAGGACCGGCCGGGGGAGTGGTCGGTGTTCTTGCCATGGGCAGAATATACCCAGAACTCTCTCCGCCACTCCTCTACTAACCTAACGCCATTCCAATGTGTTTTAGGTTACCAACTGGTTATTGCATTGACAGGCATGACTCAGGCCCGTACTCTACACAGACCGGTGCGCCATAACCAATCAGAGCTGCAGTAGGCCTAAATGCAAATAGACCATTGCCATACAGTATATGGATCTGTACCATTCACTTTGAACTGGACTGTTTTTACAGCATGAGCAGTCGTGAGTAGATGCACTTGTTTTGAGATCAAAGCGAGAGCCTTATGTAGCGACGTGTGGACATTTGTACATTTGTTCATGTCATTTTCTAGTTAGTGAGTTATTAGCCCAGTTATATATCATTTGTAGTCAGCAATGGGGGAGTGACTGCTTCCTACAAGAGCACAAAACGTGTGCATTTCTAGACATCTTTGAAAAGCGAGTCACATAAAGAGCCTTTTTTTGTCTTAAGGGGCAGTGTTGTATTTTAAGACAGGCTTGAATAAGCTAAGTAGCCAATAGGCAGAGTACCCCATAATTTGTCTGATTCTCTGTAATAATGGTATAGGAATAATGATGCATTTTATTTTGTAAAGTGGTTTCTTGCATCAAACAACACAACAACATTTTCAGTCACCTCCTTCTCTGAAGGACAAGTGGATAAACAGGTTAATGTCAAGCCCTGCATGTTTTTTTTTCAAAAAGTCTGATGGAATGTAGGCCTACGTTGAACACCACACATTGGCTGCTACTGTAGGCTGAATGATACAACAGATATTTCCATGGTCAAATGTTATGGGATGCATTTTCTCCATTGTATTTGATGGTATGCCACTCTGGTAGGCCTACATTATGATCAAATAGCCACAGTAGCCTACTTGACCACTGTTAAAACTAACTTAAAGCGGGTACAGCCTCAGTGTTCACACTAAAGGTGCGCCGGAAGTTGCACAGAATTTTCACAACGTTGCAGTTTGCGCTCAGCAGACCTGAGATTTGCTCAGTGACTAAAAAAATTAGAGGGAACATTGGTCTGGGGTACAGAACATATGGTCTTCCTGACTCACACAGCCCTGCAGTCTGGGGTACAGCTTGGTCCCTTACGTGGTATGACAGTTTCAGAACGGGCCCCAACCTTGAGAATGGTCACTCCTGTATACACCATGTCAGCCTTACCTTTTCTCCATGGAGGAGAGATCAAATCCTAGTGCCACAGCAAGCTCCACACCTGCAACATGAGGTACACAATTAAAATATGAACATCAATATACACAGTACACAGGCCCTAATGAAACAAAAAATAGTTACAACACAATAACAATGTAAGTAGGCCCACTGTCAGCCAATGTCTCTGGCGCCATGGCAGAGAATACCTAATGGCTCACTGTTGCAGTCAGCAGCCACCACCTCTAGCTTATAACAGGAGTTAGGACTGTTGGGCTCCAGGCGCGGGGAGATGTTGATGATGTTGCCCTTAGGGTTGTACAGCTTCAGAATGTCATGGGGTCCTGCCTCAGCTGCAGAGCAGAACAGATCTGGAAAGTAACAAACACACACACATGCATACAAACACAGACAACATTTTAAATTGTTCTCCTGTGAAAATAGCTCAGGCAACCAAGAGCTATTTTTGCCAATACTCAACACTTCAATCAATACTAGTTTTTCAGAGTCGAGTTTTGCAATCAAACACCCAATCAAAACACACACACATACCGCCTAGAGCTCTCTCTGTACAGCAGGTGAACAAAATACTACAAGGTTTTTATGGCCAAGCTTTTGTCAATGCCATTCATACACACAAAGATTAGAAGAGAGGGAATATTATTGCCCGAGGCAGCTCTGTAAAGGGGTAATCTAAAGCTATCAATCACACTGTGTCTGTGCCTAAATAGATGGGCAAAACATCTACTAAAGGAAGAACAGGGAGATGAAAATAAGAGGCGAAATGAGACGGTAAAGGATTCGAGAGATATGCTCGGTCAATTTCAAACCCACAATCAATTGCATTTTATAATTGCATTTTATATCAATGCTATGTTTGTGAGCTCCAAAGAGGTTTATAGGCAGTCAAATCTATAGGCAGTAGGCAGAATCTTTGAAAGAAAATTAATTCTCATGACATTAGCATATATGAGATGTATCTCAAGCTATTTGATCACTGAATTCAATTACAGCCCTTTATGCCTGTCCTTGGTACTATTTGGAAAATAATATTATTGAAATGTTATGTATTTATTTATTTGAATAGACTTTCAATAGCCCCTTCCCTATATCTCATTAGAGTAACAACCCACAACAACTGTGACATAATGTAGTACTCTCAACAACCCTCACATCAATACGTCACATCTCTAGACTCAGTTCTAAAGATGCCATATGTACACCATATGTTAGCTTTGACGCAAATGCAAGTGCAAAGTGTTGTTGTCAGCTGCACCTGTGTCTGTCTCTACCCTGCTGAAGCATCAATCATGCACTATTTCTCTCTATCGATACAGAGACTGTCTGCTTATTTTGCAATGGATCTCTCTTGTTGAAGACATGGATTGCATGTCTTTGCATCTTCTGATGGATTACACTTACTTCTGATGGATTACAACTATTTTAGGTCTCATAGTGCTTTACTTGAGTTTTGATCCATTGTTTGATCTGGTAGAGAAGCAATGAAAGTGCTATTAACCTTTCCCTTTATGTACTTTTTTATTAAAAAAAAAAAAAAAACGTTTGTTGGATGTGTACACAGTATAGCAGATGTTATAGTGGGTGCAGCGAAATGCTTGTGTTACTAGCTCCTAACAGTGCAATAGAATGTCAAACAAGTACACAAATCATAAATAATTCAGAGGTTTTGAGAGGTTTCTCATATCAGAGTAATGAGTTCAAAAACAAAATCATGCTCCAGACAAAAAATATATAATTTTTATGACATTTCAAAGATACCAAAATAATAAGGTGATATTATTTGAATTGCCTACCTTTGACATCCTGGGCAGGGCAATCAACTGGAAACTCTGCCTGCTCTGGTCTCCCATTCACAGTAAAGTAGATGATTTTTGTTGCCATATCAGTGTTTTAAAGCCACTGCCCTCACTGTTCAATTATGTTCTGAATTTCAATTTAGTAGAGATCTATTCCACCTCCCCCTCCCTCCCTTTCTCCCTCTCCCTCTCTCGCTCTCTCACACACATCCTCCTCCTTCTGCTCTATACCGCTTCTCCTTCACACAAATTCAGACAGCTGATGTTCTGAAAGAGCTGAAGAATCTGGACCCCTACAAATCAGCTGGGCTAGACAATCTGGACCCTTTCTTTCTAAAATTAGCCGCCGAAATTGTCGCAACCCCTATTACTAGCCTGTTCAACCTCTCTTTCTTAACGTCTGAGATCCCCAGAGATTGGAAAGCTGCCGCGGTCATCCCCCTCTTCAAAGGGGGTGACACTCTAGATCCAAACTGTTACAGACCTATATCCATCCTGCCCTGCCTTTCGAAAGTATTTGAAAGCCAAGTTAACAAACAGATCACCGACCATTTCGAATCCCACCGTATCTTCTCCGCTATGCAATCTGGTTTCCGAGCTGGTCATGGGTGCACCTCAGCCACGCTCAAGGTCCTAAACGATATAATAACCGTGATCTATAAAAGACAGTCCTGTGCAGCCGTCTTCATCGACCTGGCCAAGACTCTGTCAACCACCGCATTCTTATTGGCAGACTAAATAGCCTTGGTTTCTCTAATGACTGTCTCTCCTGGTTCACCAACTACTTCTCAGATAGAGTTCAATGTGTCAAATCGGAGGGCCTGTTGTCTGGACCTCTGGTCGTCTCTATGGGGGTGCCACAGGGTTCAATTCTCGGGCCGACTCTATTCTCTGTGTATATCAATGATGTCGCTCTTGCTGCTGGTGACGCTCCGATCCACCTCTACGCAGACGACACCATTTTGTATACATCTGGCCCTTCATTGAACACTGTGTTAACAAACCTCCAAACGAGCTTCAACGCCATACAACACTCCTTCCGTAGCCTCCAACTGCTCTTAAACACTAGTAAAACTAAATGCATGCTCTTCAACCGAACGCTGCTTGCACCCGCCCACCCGACTAGAATCACTACTCTCGGCGGGTCTGACCTAGAGTATGTGGACAACTACAAATACCTAGGTGTCTGGTTAGACTGTAAACTCTCCTTCCAGACTCACATTAAGCATCTCCAATCAAAAGTTAGATCTAGAATCGGCTTCCTATTTCGCAACAAAGCCTCCTTCACTCATGCTGCCAAACATGCCCTCGTAAAACTGACTATCCTACCGATTCTTGACTTCGGCGATGTCATTTACAAAATAGCCTCCAACACTCTACTCATCAAATTGGATGTAGTCTATCACAGTGCCATCCGTTTTGTCACCAAAGCCCCATATACTACCCACCATTGTGACCTGTACGCTCTTGTTGGCTGGCCCTCACTACATATTCGTCGCCAAACCCACTGGCTCCAGGTCATCTATAAATCACTGATAGGCAAATCCCTGTTTTATCTTAGCTCACTGGTCACCATAGCAACACCCACCCGTAGTATGCGCTCCAGCAGGTATATCTCACTGGTCATCCCCAAAGCCAAAACCTCCTTTGGCCGCCATTCCTTCCAGTTCTCTGCTGCCAATGACTGGAACGAACTGCAAAAATCTCTGAAGCTGGAGACTCTTATCTCCCTCACTAACTAGTTGTCAAAGTGGCTTACCGATCACTGCACCTGTACACAGCCATTCTGAAATTAGCCCACCCAACTACCTCATCCCCATATTGTTATTTTTTTTTGCTAATTTGCACCCCAGTATCTCTATTTGCACATCATCTTTTGCACATCTATCATTCCAGTGTTAATACGAAATTGTAACTATTTTGCACTATGGCCTATTTATTGCCTTACCTCCATAACTTACTACATTTGCACACACTGTATATATATTTTCTGTTGTATTTTTGACTTTATGTTTTGTTTACCCCATATGTAACTCTGTGTTGTTGTTTTTATCGCACTGCTTTGCTTTAGCTTGGCCAGGTCGCAGTTGTAAATGAGAACTTTTTCTCAACTGGCTTACCTGGTTAAATAAAGGTGAAATAAATAAATAAAATACCCTCCCTTTGCAACAGTTGAATCTGATGATGCTATGGATTTCCATAAACATTACACTTCTCATATGATATACATTTTATTCAAAGTGATATTGCAACTATTTTTCGGTACTCACTATTTTCCAAAATGTCATAGTTATTGTGAATACATTTGTTGTGGTCAAGAAAAGGCTTGCTGTCTTGATACCTCCAATACGATAGATGGCGCTGTCTCACATTTATTTGTTGAGTCTAGTCACGTGGGTTAAGGAAGTCTGGAAGAAGAAAACATGTTTTCTGTCTCGCGAGTCGTTTTATTTCTGTAAAATAATCAAATAAGTGCCATGACAGAAATTAAGGCACCGGCGGCTACTAAGCAGGCTAAAGCTTTGTTGGCTTTGAACCCGAAAGAGGAGGCTGAATTCAAGAAGAAAGTCCAGGAGGTGAAGAAGCGACCCAACAAGGTTGGTTTGCCCAAATTGCACGCGACAGTGCCACTGGCCTAAAATCCACATCATGCACGTGGGACCAAGCTCTATACATGTTATTCTAGACAATATATGTGTTAGTTTATCCAACCACATTGTTTCTATAAGAGATGTGATTTCCTCATTAGCCTGGTAGCTAGCTAACAGTAGCTAACTCCTGGCTAGCTAACTAAACTAGTTAAACATCACCCAAAGTTCACTCGCGAGACTTCCGGGAACGCTTGCGAAGCAGTCCGGGGTTTGGGGTTTGAGATGTAAATGAGAGAAGTAAAACATTCTTCCTTAGTTGTTAATTTTCTTGAAATCTAAAGGCACAACCTAAATTCGAGACTGTCTTAACATTTACATTTTAGTCATTTAGCAGACTCTCTTATCCAGAGCGACTTACAGTTAGTGAGTGAATACATTATTCGTTTATTTTGCTAAAAAACATTTCATACAATTTTTCATACCCCCGTGGGAATCGAACCCACAACCCTGGAGTTGCAAACGCCATGCTCTACCAACTGAGCTACATCCCTGCCGGCCATTCCCTCCCCTACCCTAGACGACGCTGGGCCAATTGTGCGCTGCCCCATGGGTCTCCCGGTCACGGCCGGCTACGACAGAACCTGGATTCGAACCAGGATCTCTAGTGGCACAGCTAGCACTGCGATGCAGGGAGGTCTGAACGAACATGTTTATTACACCAACCTCGTGAAAGTGACAAACTGACACGTTTTCGTCAAAAACTACTTTATATAATTTGGAAGTCGCTCTGGATAATTTGTAAGTCGCTCTGGATAAGAGCGTCTGCTAAATGATGTAAATGTAATATAAGGAGTGCCTTTGACTTGAAGGCATGCGCAGTTCGGCGCGAGGCGACCACTAGACCTGATGACGTGTTTCTGCACATGAGCTTAGCTAACCAATGTCGCCATGACATCGCCTACAAGCGTGATCAGGGATTTCTATAGGAGAAGCAGTTTTAGCCTATCTTCATACTGTACTGTCTGGCTCACGCTCTGTGGCGTCGCCAGAATGCAGATGTTTCAGGGATACAGTATTTTCAACCTAACTTCTGTTTCCCCTGAAAAACGGTTGTGGAGACTCCGCTCATATGTATTTTTACGCCTGCTACGTTAGGTTACCCAACATTCCAAATCAAATGTTATTTGCCACATGCGCCGAATACAACAGGTGTAGACATTACCGTGAAATGCTTACTTACAGCCCTTAACCAACAATGCATTTTATTTTTAATAAAACGTTTAAAAAAACAACAACAAAATTTTTTTGAGAAAAATAGGGCAGAAGTAAAATTAAATAACAGTAGGGAGGCTATATACACTGGGGTACAGGTGCAGAGTCAATGTGCGGGGGCACCGGCTAGTTGAGGTAATATGTACATGTGGGTAGAGTTAAAGTGACTATGCATAAATAATAAACAGAGTAGCAGCAGCGTAAAAATATGGGATGGGGGGGGCAGTGCAAATAGTCCAGGTAGCCATGATTAGCTGTTCAGGAATCTTATGGCTTGGGAGTAGAAGCTGTTGAGAAGCCTTCTGGACCTAAACATGGCGCTCCAGTACCCCTTGTCGTGCGGTAGCAGAGAGAACAGTTAATGACTAGGGTGGCTGGAGTCTTTGACAATTTTGAGGGCCTTCCTCTGACACTGCCTGGTATAGAGGTCCTGGATGGCAGGAAGCTTGGCCCCAGTGATGTACTGGGCCGTACGCACTACCCTCTGTAGTGCCTTGCGGTCGGAGGCCGAGCTGTTGCCATACCGGGCGGTGATGCAACCAGTCAGGATGCTCTCGATGGTGCAGCTGTAGAACTTTTTGAGGATCTGAGGACCCATGCCAAATCTTTTCAGTCTCCTGAGGGGGAATAGGCTTTGTCGTGCCCTCTTCACGACAGTCTTGGTGGACCATGATAGTTTGTTGGTGATGTGGACACCAAGGAACTTGAAGCTCTCGACCTGTTCCACTACAGCCCTGTCGATGAGAATGGGGGCGTGCTCAGTCCTCTTTTTTTTTCCTGTAGTCCACAATCATCTCCTTTGTCTTGGTCACGTTGAGGGAGAGGTTGTTATCCTGGCACCACACGGCCAGGTCTCTGACCTCCTCCCTATAGGCTGTCTCATCGTTGTCGGTGATCAGGCCTACCACTGTTGTGTCGTCTGCAAACTTAATGATGGTGTTGGCGTCGTGCCTGGCCATGCAGTCATGGGTGAACAGGGAGTACAGGAGGGGACTGCGCACACACCCCTGAGGGGCCCCTGTGTTGAGGATCAGCGTGGCAGATGTGTTGTTACGTACCCTTACCACCTGGGGACGGGCCATCATGAAGTCCAGGATCCAGTTGTAGAGGGAGGTGTTTAGTCCCAGGATCCTTAGCTTAGTGATGAGGGCACTATGGTGTTGAATGCTGAGCTGTAGTCAATTAATAGCATTCTCACGTAGGTTTTCCTCTTGTCCAGATGGGAAAGGGCAGTGTGGAGTGCAATAGAGATTGCATCATCTGTGGATCTGTTGGGGCGGTATGCAAATTGGAGTGGGTCTAGGGTTTCTGGGATAATGGTGTTGTGAGCCATGACCAGCCTTTCAAAGCACTTCATGGCTACAGACGTCAGTGCTACAGGTCGGTAGTCATTTAGGCAGGTTATCTTAGTGTCCTTGGGCACAGGGACTATGGTGTTGCCTGTAATCCATGGCTTCTGGTTGGGGTATGTACGTACGGTCACTGTGGGGACGACGTCATCGATGCACTTATTGATGAAGCCGGTGACTGATGTGGTGTACTCCTCAATGCTATCTGAAGAATCCCGGAACATGTTCCAGTCTGTTCTAGCAAAACAGTCCTGTAGCTTAGCATCTGCGTCATCTGACCACTTTTCTTATTAACCCAGTCACTGGTGCTTCCTGCTTTAGTTTTTGCTTATAAGCAGGAATCAGGAGGATAGAGTTATGGTCAGATTTGCCAAATGGAGGGCGAGGGAGAGCTTTGTATGTGTCTCTGTGTGTGGAGTAAAGGTGGTCTAGAGTTTTTTTCCCTCTGGTTGCACATTTAATATGCTGGTAAGTTTCCCTGCATTAAAATCCCTGGCCACTAGGAGCGCTGCCTCTGGATGAGTGTTTTCCTGTTTACTTATGGCCTTATACAGCTCATTGAGTGCAATCTTAATGCCAGCATTGGTTTGTGGTGGTAAATAGACAGCTATGAAAAATATAGATGAAAACTCTGTTGGTAAATAGTGTGGTCTACAGCTTATCATAAGATACTCTACCTCAGGTGAGCAAAACCTCGAGACTTCCTTTGAGTGATAGCATTGATCTAACTTAATGGTAGTATTTATTTATTTATTTAGTTAGTTAGCTAACTACTACCCAGCAGGTCCGACCCGGTTGCTTACAACTGCACTAGGATCGGATAGCATTCCTGTGTATTCATGGTTTGCATGTTTCGTCACAATATTGTTTTGAATGTTCGTTAAGGACATCCCTGACTGAGCATTCTACTCCATGCATTGTCAATGAGCGCTGATGAAGATTTCATCAAAAGTGCATTACTGTGGCTTGGAAATACAATGATATTCAAAATGAGGCACATAACTAGTAGGGAAACCTTTTGTCATCATTTTGATGTCGCCAGATTGACTTAAGATGCAGTATAACAGTAGCTAGCTAGCTAAGACTGAGGGGTGGCTTCCGGATTTCAGCTAGCTAACGTTAGCATTGCTAGCTTTTTTTGACTAACTTTTCTAGCTGATGACAACATTTCCATCTGTCTAAAGTAAATTTGATGACAATGGTGGCAAAGTTATTTCCTACTAAATATTTGACTACTTTAACAATGTCATTGTATTTCCAGGCACTATAGTGTAATTTAGACAACAGTAGTTAGCCTCCAGCCAGAATGGCTGGGTTTATCACCACTTTAGGGCACCACTATGGCACCACCGGTAAAGGGCAGCTTGAGAACGTTCTTAACAATGGCATGAGGTGACAGAGGTGCAACCTAAGAATATTAATCCTTAAGTCTATTGATGCACCCATGCAACAATCTAATTAACATGATTTAAAAAATCGCCATCAAAATCCGACAATTTAAGATGGATCTTTTTTTGCATGGGCTGCGTCTCAATCCACTGCATCCACCTATGTCTGCCTTCGGCATCTGCAGTGGAAAGTGAAGTCGGTACAGCCGATGTGCCAACTTCTGTCTGAACCGTTTGGGCTATAAACTAATATGATCTGCTCTACAACCCCCACAAGTGTCACAAGACTCATCTGATAGTAACCCATACAAATTAATGGAAGTTTTGAGGTAGTTTTGTGCGACCCCCGCGGAGAGGCTATAGCACATCCCTTGTGGAAACAATGTGGTTGGATAAACTAACAAATCTATTGTAGGAATACGGCAGTATACTTAAACTAGCAGTCGTTCAATTTATTCGGTTTAACAGTTGGGGGATAATGAGACAATTAGTAGTATTCTCATCCCTGGATTGAGGTACGTTTTCCGAGCCATATCTCATGCCGGATCCGCTCTAGTGCAGCTGTAAGCAAGCGGGATCTGCTGGCTAGCTAACTACATTTTACATAATGTTCTGCCTTACCCATATTTCCTCTTTTTTTACAGGGACAACAAAGTCCAGGTGTGATTTATGTTGGCCATCTTCCCACTGGGTTGTTCGAGCCTCAGCTCAAATCCTACTTTGAATAGTTTGGAAAAGTTGTCAGGTTACGACTGGCCAGGAGTAAAAAGGTACAAAAATTGAAATCCATTATCTTGAAAATGTAAGAATGGGATGTGTTGTGTGATGCTCAGGTGTGAAGAATGGCACCGTCTGAAAATTACCTCAGATGTACCAGTTGTCTGTGGTGAGAGAACTGTGCTGACAGTATTGTGGTACGTTAAGCTTATTGCCTGCTTTGTATAGCAGTGTGATTAAACCAATGTCCCCACATTAGTGTCGTGACGTGACTTACTTTAATGTATGACTTATTTATCGAATCACCTAACTATGTTTAATTGTCACTCGATTCAATTAATAATGTAACAATTAACTCATTAGGAATTTGGGGCACCACGGATAAGTCGTTTAACGAGTTACCATCTCCCGAATTAAACTCTTAGAAGATAAATGTTTTATATCGATAAGTCACTTATTAAATAATTACCTCTTATCAGTCTCATTCTGAGCGTCGCATAATCCTTGAACCTGCAAGAACCCTAACCTTATTGATGAATCAGCAATACACAAATAGGCTTAATTATTTATTTACTAACTAAATAATAACACAATACAAACACACACACAGGTTATTGATAACTAACGTAATACAATGAAAACAGGTCCCTAGTGGACTGGACTAACAATAGCATGAATGCTTGGGTAGAAGGAGGGTCAGAGTGGAAGGGAGAGACACAGATTCAAACGATTGTGGTTACTTTGTAAACTACGCTACACGGAAATACAAATGCTGAAAACCCCACTAAACGCTCATTCGGATTAGAAACGCAACATGTATTTACGTGTAGCGGTCATCGATAGTTGAGTTGATGATGTAGGACTCTGGTTTGCCCGCCAGAGATCCCAATGTACTTTGTAGAGTTTCTGGTCGTAGTGGTGGTTAGAATGGATACTTCAGATGTACCAGTGGTTGTCTGAGAGGGATTGTCCTCTCGTGTCTTTAGTGAAAGTTCTCTAGACGACTATACATGCCAGCTGCAGACTGAAATAAGGTCTAGTGCATTGTCTTCTTCTTCACCTTGTGTAGAGGTTGAGAGTTTGAGTTTCTCAATTTAAAACGTGTGAACTAACATCTCACGTTTTCTGGTCTAACCATTTTGTAACGTGTAGCTTCAGCTTCACGCTTCTTGGTCTTGTAGAAATTCAACCATTTGCAACATTTGGCTTATACCGTAGTATGCTTGGTCTTCCTTTGGTAATGGAGTTGTAGTTTTAAACCATTTTGTAACGTGTAGCTTCAGCTTCATGCTTCTTGGTCTTGTAGAAATTCAACCATTTGCAACATCCGGCTTATACCGTAGTATGCTTGGTCTTCCTTTGGTAACGGAGTTGTAGTTTTAAACAATTTTGTAACGTTTAGCTCACGCTTCACGTCTGCTGGTCTGAGGTTAATTTCGTCACAAGGCTTATTATGCACTCGGGGTGTTTGTGCTCATCTGGGTGTGGCCACTGACTGAGAACAAATCAATATGGAAAACAATGATTTCATCTAGAATGCTAAAATCACATTGTTATCGTCACAAAAGTATTATTATACTTAATCATTCGTTTTATACAACAATTAGATGCAAACCTCGTAACTGTGAAGTGTATCCCCCCAGATATAGTTATGATGTTCCATCATCTTTAATGACATCACAACATAGTAACAAATTTGACATGATTGTTCTTTAAGTCCCCACCAACCATTTCCCACATTATTTTAAGTAGTAATATTGTTTCATTATCCACTTTTGGATGTTGGAGTCTTGGCGGGAAGACTTCCTTTGTTAACAAAGGGGTCCTTTCTCCCAATACTTCATGGCAAGGAAGAGAAAGTCTGCACGGTATTTACGACCGGTCATAAAACTGGCCCCCAGGAAAGGGGGTGTTCAAACCTTTGCCCAGCCGGCATGTTTAATCCTCAACCCATGAGGGCAAGTCATGACAACAGCCATTGACTCATGGAAACAGCCATGCGCCAATCAGATGTGGATACCATTGTTAGAGTTCATATTGGGAGGTGATACAGGCTAAATTATTTGATGTTATACCACAGCATTGTTGAATACAAGTTTCTGATTGGCTAGAATGGGCATTTAAACCAGATATTGGGACAGTTGGATGTCCTGATTTAGAGAACGACAGATATGGATTTTTTTAAGGCTGATGCCGATACCGATTTTTGGGGGTCAAGGAGGCCGATGGACGATATTTAATATTAAATTGGAAGAATTGACCAAATTTCCCAACATCCATGTATGCATTAATGCATCAGTTTTAAAATCAAACAAATGTGACTTTGTTTTTACCAATCTAACTGTGTAACATAATGGTAATGATTTTATTTGAATGGTAAATCTCTTAATAAACTGGGTAAATTAAGATGGCATAGGCCTACTCACAATACAGGTGAATGCATATTCAATAGGAGTGTGTGCATACATTGAGTCATTGAGCTTGTTTTGGCTGATCAGTGGAGTCTATGGTGCTACAGATGACAAACAATCTGTTTGCCTTCCATTTGGGGCTTCTATTAGCCTACTGATTAACAACATTTGCAAAGAAGAGTCACTCCAGCATGTCACGCGTGTACGCCTGTATGGAATGACATCATATAGGCACTATCTGTCAAGAAATGGGTGGGTTGTAACTTGATCCTACTGCTACGATTGGATAGAGCGAGGATTTAACTCCGCCCCCTTTAACGTCTCCTCATCGCTCATATCACTTGCTGCTGTTTACTGCTACTATGAGAACTAGCTCAATGACGATGACATTTGCTACGAAGCCATACATATGCATAATATCTAACAAGGAGAGCGAGGGTAGGAAAAAAGATGAAACGACGATGCACCTTCTGTCTGAATGACTCAAATCTGCCCATAGTTTGAGAAGTTAGAACGCACACTGCTCTACAGCTTTCTTGGTACATAAACATGCAGGAAGATTCTTAGGTAGCTAAACCTATTGGCAACCTTTATTTAGGCGTTTTAAAACATTTCCTTCTTTAACTATTACGACAATCATCTAATCCGAATATCAACTAGATTTATGGATACGATTGTGGCTGGTCAGATCAGCACACCAGTAAACTAGCAAGTCAGATGGCTCGTTGCTGAAAATGGTGCATGTTCAAAATCAAAACCAGCTAATGTTAGCTAGCTACGTTGGCTATTAGCACCTATCTGATATCTTAGAACCATGCTTATCTAGGCAGCTAGCTAGCATAGTAGCTAATATAGCTAGCTACCTAACACCACAGTTAGTTAGCTATGTGACCCATTAACAAAGATTACGCTATCTTCTTAGGTAGCTTGCGTATTGCATGCATGTCTGGGCACATCGACAGAAGCCTTATTATTAGTCAATTAACTAAACGAATATTTGTAACAGGAGTTTGATATGTCAATTAATCAATTTCTCAATACTGCACCTTTCTGTTGGAGAATGAGCTAGCTTGCTGCTGCTGATTTTCCCTGCAAGACATTTCTCTGCATTTTGCAGTGCTCGTGGCTCAGGTGGTGAGTGGTGGCTGGCATAGCAGTAGCTTTGCTATGTAGAGGGACTATCGGCAAAGCTGATAGAGAAGGGCCAATAGACTAGAAAATGCCAATATCAGCCCGATTTATATCGGCTCGGCCGATTATCGGTCGTTCTCTGGTCCTGATATCTGAATATAACGGGACACCTAATCATAATGCAATATAAAGCACTGCATACAGACCATACTTGTTACAAAAAGCTAAACCAACAACCACACAAACTGAAATTGGATACATTGGAACTCCGGTCCAACAAGGAAAGACTTAGCTAACTGATTTGTTTTTGAAGAGACTTATTTATCCGGTCCTTCAATGTTGCAGTCATGTCGCAAGTGGTGATCTGCTGTCAAATCCTCCTACATGTTCCTAGTTTGACCAGCTGTTTTCAGCAACTGATATTTTTTTTGATTTGGTTGTTATATTGTCAGGTTTGCTAACAAAAACTATTTAGTTAGCTTCTAGCCTAGTGTCTCTAGCAACCAAAATATGCTTTAAAAAAATAGAATTTCTACTGGTAAATGTGTGCTTTAGTATTGTTTTCTTTGTCAACTCTGGTATAAGCTGGATAAACGCCTCCGTTTTGTACATTACCTTAGAAAAATGAACTCCGCAAAGGGACTCGGCGCTGCGTCGTCCATTATTTCCAAGGTAATGCTTAGAACGTTGGCGTTTAACCCTTACATAACAACATTCTCCTCTCACAGACAGGTGGAAGCAAAGGCTATGTATTTGTGGAGTTCGACTATGATGATGTCGCCCAGATCGTTGCTGAGACCATGAACAACTACCTGATGGGCGAAAGACTGATCAAATGTAAGTTAGGGACTATGTTATTATTAATAATGAGAAATACCTGGAGAAAGTCGGACCTCTCTGAAATGAAAATGGATGGCCCTCCCTTCTGCATTTTTTTTTTTTAAGAAGCATTTGACTCGCATCCTGAAGTGCCACTGTAAACAGCAGTCATTGGTTAGGCAGCACAAAAGGGTTTACATCAGCAAGAGCAGTACAGGCTGGGGCTCATGATTGAGAACGCCTATCTATTGCATTTTATAATGCAGTTTAGCCTAGTTTTATATTCACCATCCCAGCAGCACAAAAACTCGAAGGAAGTACATTTTCTTAGAAATATAACTTTGCCCATGCATGCTCTTCGTATAGCCTAAGCCTATTGCCTATAGTTTAGGCTATGGGGAATTTTTTAAAGACCACACTAGGCACACTTGATATAGCGTGCCCAGCAGAGAATCAGGGATGAGGGCACACATCGAGATACTATAATAAGCAACAAATTCTCAAACCCTGAGCAATATGACATTTAATCAATTACAAATTACATGACCCGCCCCTGGACTAAATTAAAAAATACTAAACCCTCCCCCTGACTGAAATTGAAAAAGCATGACCCGCCCCCATTTTCCTCAGGGTAACAATTATGCACACTTCGACCGCTCCCTTATCTGAAGAAATAAGCCACCTTTTCACTCATTTAAACCTAGAATCATATGTTCAGGTTTAACATTTGCCCCTAGCTCTTGATGTCTTGTAGTGTGTGTGCATGCATGTTGTGGGAGGAGAGCAGCAGACACATTTCCGTTTCACCAGAGCTGGACTAATAAAGTTCTATTGCATTCTCCAGGTCATCTGGTTCCTGCTGAGAAGGTGCATGAGAAGCTGTTTGTGGGATCACAGAGAGCATTTAAGAAGCCCATGCAGCCTGCTGTGGCTCGCTACAACAAGAGACACACACCAGAGGAGGTCAAGGAGATGACCGGACGACTACTACATAAAGAGTCCAAGCTCCGCAAAAGGCTGTCAGAGAAGGGAATAGACTATGACTTCCCAGGGTTTGTAAGTGTTGAATTTGAATCATCATCGGTTCAATATATATTTATTTTTAGTATATTCCTGACTTTTTAAACAATTTGAATGTATTGAATTTTAACTTGCATTATTTTCTTGTAGCATAATTGTAAACTCTCTTTTTGAAGGCTTCTCAAGTGCCACAGAAGAAAATGTTAGATGACACTGTGAATGAATCCACGTGTAGTGAGGTAAGGACAATTCATCTGAACTAGGCAACACTTTTGTAAATGCCTACATCAAAGTACAAGATTGTATTTTTGCTGCATATAGCTATGATTTTGGCACAGTCTGAAAATCTGGCGGCAGGTAGCTTAGTGGTTAAGAGCGTTGTGCCAGTAACCGAAAGGTCGCTGGTTCTATTCCCCGAGCCGACTAGGTGAAAAATCTGTCGATGTGCCCTTGAGCAAGGCACTTAACCCTAATTGCTCCTGTAAGTTGCTCTGGATAAGAGCGTCTGCTAAATGACTAAAATGTAAATGTAAAATTACCTTTGATGTACCAGTTGTCTGGGGTGAGATAACTGTGCCGACAGTATTGTGGTATGTTAAGCTTATTGCCTGCTCTGTATAGCAAGGTGATTAAACCCATGTGCCCACATTCACTAAGCAAAGTAAAGTATTCTTGCACTCCGTAAGAATTAACATCAAATCAATCAAATTTTATGTGCCACATGCGCCGAATACAACAGGTGTAGACATTACCGTGAAATGCTTACTTACAGCCCTTAACCAACAATGCATTTATTTCTTAATAAAAAAGTAAAATAAAACAACAACCAAAAAGTGTTGAGAGATAAAAAGAGCAGAAGTAAAATAAAATAACAGTAGGGAGGCTATATACAGGGGGCACCGGCTAGTTGAGGTAGCTCCTCACTTCCTTCTAGGAAGGACTCCTCCGTCTCCTCTTCCTCAGAGGATAAATCTTCGTCTGACTCTGCTCCTTCTTCATGTTTGCCTTTAGAATTTTTTTAGGGCGGGGAATCATTGGAGATGCTAATAGCGAAATGGAAAACGTTGTTTCTCTGTGTTGTAAGGTTCTCTGTGTTAATGATGTCTGTTTCTCCTCAGGATGTGACTCCAGTGTGCACCCCCTCAGTCCTGGACAAGAGGAGGTCCATGAAGATCAACGATGATGACAGCGATGACGAAATCATCATCAAGAATACCCCCGCCCTAAAAAAAGTCTAAAGGCAAACGTGAAGAAGGAGCAGAGTCAGACAAAGATTTATCCTCTGAGGAAGAGGAGACTGAGGAGGAGTCCTTTCTAGAAGGGAGTGAGGAGCCCACAATGTGTGAAGAGCGCTCAGGGGACGTAGAGACTGTCGTATAGGAAGGAGGAGCAGAGTGAACGAACGTCAACGCCTGTCGTTTAAAGGACAATAACTCCATTAAATTGCCTTGCTTGTAAAGCAGATACATTTTTACAAGGTGGTTGGTTGGTCCTATACAATTGCCCAGAGGAGAATGGCTAGAGAGCCAATGACTGTTTGACAGTGTTAGAACCTATGCACCTGTATAGCACCTCCTAAAGTCCCACAGCCAGGGCCTAAAATTAACACCTGCCAAATGTGGGTAGATTTTGGCATTGGCTTGTAAGAGTTCTATTTCACCAGCCCGGTTGGGGGTGGTCAGGGCTCCACAGTGCAAGCATTTCACTCGCATTTGTGAATTAAAATAGTAATTTATATAAAATAAATGCCACAGTAGCTGTTTTCAAAGTATTTCCACCGTTTTGTTTCATAGCTGTTAAATTAATTCACAAAGTCAAAGAACTAGCTACGAATCCAGGGTTTCACCGCTGTCACTCGGTTGCGTCATTGCCATTAACGTTATCAACGTTCTACAGATGTCGCAGCTTATTGATGTCTGACTGATGGTTAATGCCATGTCTTTCTGAACAGGAGCTAGTGACTTTTTTGTCAAATTTACGCTATAGTGGCCTGGAAATACGATGACATTGCTAAAGTAGACAAATAATTAGTCAAAAACAACTTTGCCATCATTATGTCAAGTACCGTATTGGTCCGAATATAAGACGACCCTGATTATAAGACGACCCCCCGTTTTTCAACACAAACATTTAGAAAAACAGATTTGCAGACTAGATTTGCCGAACAAAGAACTTCATTTTATTTTAAAATAACAATATTAAAAACACAGTGAATTAAACACAAAGGCAAACTATGTACAGTATGATTCAAAATTAATATCAAGCAATAATAAAGCAACATTTTTAAATAACAGAGAAAATACAGGCCACACATTTAACTAAACTTAACAAAAATTCGCCAAACTTCTCCTCCGATGTCTCTCTATCCCTCACACACGTCCTCTGCCCCGCTGTGTTCGCTCTCGCTGTCATCGCTCCCCAGCTGCTCCGCTTCCACCGGCTCCTCCCAAAGCACGTCGTCCTCGCTGCCGTCCAATGCATTTGAGATGCAACATTTTTTTAAAGCCATCGATGATGCTCTGTGAGGGAATAGCATCCCATGCATGCAGGATCCATTCACACAGTAGACGGACTGACGGCTTCTGTATTTTCCCGGTCGGTGTGAGTGCGTGGTTGCCAGACAGGAGCCACTCTGTGTATTTTTTTTCGCAGGTTATCCTTGAAAGGCTTGTTCACAACTACGTCCAACACCTGTAGCTGGCTTGTCATTCCCCCTGGTATGATCACAAGATCCCCGTTCATTGCTCGCACCTGACTTTTCACGGGCTCAGTCAGATGTCCGCGGAACGCATCCAGAACGAGCATGTTCCTCCCTCTTCCTCAGTCCCCCGTAGCGTGCGCCCCACACAACCTTTAGCCAGTCCACTACAAGCCCCGACTCCATCCAGCCCTTCTCCTGGGCGCGCACAATAATGCCAGCTGGCATTGGGTCCTTTGGCACAGTCTTACGCTTAAGAATGACATACGGGGGGAGTTTGCTGCCACCAGCGAGACATGTCAACATGACAGTGACGCGGCTCTTCTCGTTGCCCGTTGATTTCACCAACACAGACTTTTCTCCCTTTCTATTGACAGTCACCGATGTTGGCATGTCGAAATAAACGGGTGTCTGATCAGCATTGCCGATCTGATCCAGCGGGTAGGAGTGCTTCTTCCTCAGGTTGATAACAAAGCGCTGAAACGAAAGCAGCTTCTCTCCGAAGTCTGACGGCAGGCGTTGGGCCAAACTCGTTCTCCGTCTAAGTGACAGTCCATTACGCCGCATCATCCTACGACACCAGCCGAGGCTGGCTTTAAATCCAGTGATGTTGAGCTCTCTGGCGATTTCCAGGGCCTTAACCTGGATGACAGCTCTGGTAATGGGCATTCCCTCACTTCTTTTTTCCCTGACATATTCAAAAACCCTCCGGTCAACCTCAATGAAACGACCACTTTGAGGACCACGGAAGGATTTTCGCTGACTGTTAGCATCTTTTAGACGTTGTTTTTCTGCTCGCCATCTTCTTACATTACACTCAGTGACCCCGAATGTCTTGGCAGCTTGGCAGTTGTTAGATGACTCTGCCTTATTGACAACCATTATTTTGAAATTGGCATCATAGCTCCTCCGCTGTTGTTTATTGACCTGGCCCACTTTTGAGCCACTTGTCTCTAAATGGTCAGCCTGTCTTTCCATCTTTAAACACCGGTAACGGGCTGGTTGTTAAGGACGCCTCTTCCCTCCGTCCGGAACGAATTTTTGGCGCCATCTGTGCCCCGCGAATGTGTATTGACATTTAAAGGGAGCGCCGAAGAAGAGAAACTGCGCTCTGAATACTAGACCCCCGAATATAAGACGACCCCCGACTTTTTTGGACCTATTTCGAGGGGAAAAAAGGCCGTCTTATATTCGGACCAATACGGTAGTTATTTTTTTTTAAATGGGCTGATATGCTTGATCCATTTTTGCAACAGCTCTACCCCCCCAGATTGCTGAATCATATTGAATCACCTGACGATTATATCTGGTACTATCCCCAAGGTTTGGAAGGCGGCCCATGTACTCCCCCTTCACAAAGGTGGTGACCCTTGTGACCTAAATAATTATCGCCCTATTTCTAAACTTTCTTGCCTAGCTAAAATATTAAAATCCTTGATTAATTCTCAACTAAGATCTTTCTTATCTTTGAAATGTATTCTAAATGGACATCAGTCGGGTTTTAGACCAGGTCATAGCACTATCTCTGCTGCATCCCTAGTTATAAACGATGTGTTTAACTGTATGGATAAAAGGCAACATTGGGCTGCCCTCTTCATTGACCTGTCAAAGGTGGTCCTCTGTAGCTCAGCTGGTAGAGCACGGCGCTTGTAACGCCAAGGTAGTGGGTTCGATCCCCGGGACCACCCATACACAAAAATGTATGCACGCATGACTGTAAGTCGCTTTGGATAAAAGCGTCTGCTAAATGGCATATTATATTATTATTATTATATTATAAAGGCTTTCAATACTGTTGATCACTCACTGCTATTTCAGAGGCTTTCATCAATTGGCCTAGACCAGCCTGCATGTAACTAGTTTAAAAAGTACTTGACAGGTGGACCTCAATGTGTATCTACTGATGGTGTTAAATCAGGTTTCCTGGATATTACGAAAGGTGTCCCACAGGGGTCGATACTGGGTCCTGTACTTTTTACTGTTTACATTAACAATATCGACTTGTCTGTAAGAAACTGTAACCTGCACTTGTATGCCAATGATACTGTTGTGTATGCTATTGCCCCCACGGTTGACCAGCCTCTATCTGAACTACAGTCTGTCTTCATTGTATTACAGAAAATCTTTATTGGCCTGAAATTAGTATTGAATGCAGGTAAAACTATTGTGCAAGTTCTCCCACTTAAAAAGATGAGGGAGGCCTGTAATTTTCATCATAGGTACACGTCAACTATGACAGACAAATTGAGAAAAAAGAATCCAGAAAATCACATTGTAAGATTTTTTATGAATTTATTTGCAAATTATGGTGGAAAATAAGAATTTGGTCACCTACAAACAAGCAAGATTTCTGGCTCTCACAGACCTGTAACTTCTTCTTTAAGAGGCTCCTCTGACCTCCACTCGTTACCTGTATTAATGGCACCTGTTTGAAACTTGTTATCAGTATAAAAGACACATGTCCACAACCTCAAACAGTCACACTCCAAACTCCACTATGGCCAAGACCAAAGAGCTGTCAAAGGACATCAGAAACAAAATTGTAGATCTGCACCAGGCTGGGAAGACTGAATCTGCAATAGGTAAGCAGTTTGGTTTGAAGAAATCAACTGTGGGAGCAATTATTAGAAAATGGAAGACATACAAGACCACTGATAATCTCCCTCGATCTGGGGCTCCACGCAAGATCTCACCCCGTGGGGTCAAAATGATCACAAGAACGGTGAGCAAAAATCCCAGAACCACACCGGGGGACCTAAGGAATGACCTGCAGAGAGCTGGGACCAAAGTAACAAAGCCTACCATCAGTAACACACTACGCTGCCATGGACTCAAATCCTGCAGTGCCAGATGTGTCCCCCTGCTTAAGCCAGTACATGTCCAGGCCCGTCTGAAGTTTGCTAGAGTGCATTTGGATGATCCAGAAGAGGATTGGGAGAATGTCATATGGTCAGGTGAGACCAAAATAGAACTTTTTGGTAAAAACTCAACTCGTCGTGTTTGGAGGACAAAAAATGCTGAGTTGCATCCAAAGAACACCATACCTACTGTGAAGCATGGGGGGTGGAAACATGCTTTGGGGCTGTTTTTATGCAAAGGGACCAGGATGACTGATCTGTGTAAAGGAAAGAATGAATGGGGCCATGTATCGTGAGATTTTGAGTGAAAACCTCCTTCCATCAGCAAGGGCATTGAAGATGAAACGTGGCTGGGTCTTTCAGCATGACGATGATCCCAAAACACACCGCCCGGGCAATGAAGGAGTGGCTTCGTAAGAAGCATTTCAAGGTCCTGGAGTGGCCTAGCCAGTCTCCAGATCTCAACCCCATATAAAATCTTTGGAGGGAGTTTGAAAGTCCGTGTTGCCCAGCGACAGCCCAAAACATCACTGCTCTAGAGGAGATCTGCATGGAGGAATGGGCCAAAATACCAGCAACAGTGTGTGAAAACCTTGTGAAGACTTACAGAAAACGTTTGACCTGTGTCATTGCCAACAAAGGGTATATAACAAAGTATTGAGAAACTTTTGTTATTGACCAA